CCACATGACATTTGCATAGTGCTACGGTTCAGTAAGCACTAATTGGTCAGCGAGTCCGATGTTGACGCTATAAAAAGGCGACAGTTCGACACACCGGATATACGTCACTCTCGTCTAAATTCGACTTGGGAATTTTTTTGTTCAATAATAAATGTGAATTCTTCTTCCTGGAAAAAAGAACACATTCCTTGAAAATAAGACCTAGCGCATTTTTCAGAGCAAAAATTAATATAAGACACTGTCTTATTTTCGGGGAAACACGGTAGTAAAATAATTTTAATATTAATAATAATAATTTAGTAACATAAATTTATTCATAGTAAAATGTACTCGCGGGCCGTAAAAATTATTTGGCGGGCCGTATATGGCCCGCGGGCCGCCAGTTGGACAGCGCTGGGATAAACAATGCTCTACTGTAATATTAACAATAATATTGATTATTTAACTTTAATATCTAATTCTGTATTCATTACTTACCTCAAGATCAATTATTTCTTTTGGAAGAGGTGCTTCAGGATTATCACCTGCATCAAATATGGGAATGTTTTCTTTTTTTATTTCTGTTTCCAGAAAACCTATTAAAATACATAAATAAATATTGAATTAAATCATTGTTATATATACTTTAAGTTATCTGTCTAACATTATTACAACTTATTTTTAAGATAATATATGCAATTAACATGCATAGCTAGTTGCCAACTTATCAGTAAATCCACAACTAAACAATCATTAGTGTGCTATATCCAACTAAATTCCATTTCTTCTATTTTGAAAAGCAACAGTTTCATTGCCTGAAAAATAAAATATTCTGTAGTTTTTTAGTTACAGTGATAAAAAAGGAACCAGTGCTAAAACTCACATTCAAATAAATGTGTTCCATTTTGTCAACTAAAATCACTATTAGACACTTAGACATTATGGGTAGAGGAAAGAATTGCCAAATTGTCCAACAGTGTCATAATGTGATACTTTAAAAATTGTAAAGTAGTAATTTAAAAGAAAAATGACAAACTACTATTACAAGCTTGGAGATTGTAGCTTTTACAGTTTAAATCATTGATGATTTAAACTGTAAAAGTTATAGCCTCCAAGACAATTCTGGTCCAGGGCACATATTAATCTGGCCTGTAAACATATTTGACATCACTTATGATAGAAATAGACCTACCTTTTGTATACATGGAATATACAATATATTTAGCCTGTTAAGATTGTAGGATTAATAGGATAAGGCAAGGCAACACATGTTAAAGTCTGCCAAAGGAAAGTGTCTCCCAGAAAGACTTTCTACAGAAACTGGCTCCACTTTATAGATTAGATATGTGAAGAGGACCCAGAAAATTCCATGAGCCTATTAATCAGGCATGAACCTGAAACGAACTACCAGCATTTAGTGGTTTTATCCATTTGGTCACCAATAGACTTGAATTATACACAAGCCTGCCATCAAAAAGTTTGGGCACCATTGGTTTAAATAAAAGCATTTGATATTTCTGTGCTTTTAATATATAAAATTATAAATATAAATATATATATATATGTATATGTATATATACGTTAGCCTATTTAAAAAAAATAGTAAATAAATGTCAACAGTTTGATTATCTCTATAAATATTTTGTTTTCAACAAAAGAAATTCAACACAGTACTTACTTAGACACAACAAAATATAGTAGCATGATCCCGAAGACTAGAAAGTTTGTCTCAAGTCTAAATTGCAACTAAATATCCACCACTGTACTGTACATTAGTCACCACTTTCCACAGGAACATTATGAAGACTAGATGTCCGGTTTGACGAATAAGTAAGTAGGTTGNCGCCCCCTAGTGGGCGTTCCAGCAGCATTACAAATTCCTGAGGCATGTTTAATGCACTTAATATATGAAAGTTGTGTGCGCTTAATGTTTAAAAGTTTGATGCAGTTAATATATATAAATGTATACAATTCTTCATCTTAGAAACTAAACTTAAAATATCAATACACAAACAGCAAACAGTATTTGTACATGAGAAAGTGAAGCTATTCTTTACTCAAAATTGTTCAATAGAATTAATATAATTAAAAAATCAAGTATAAATATATACAAATCTTCATGTTAAAAAGTAATGTTAACAGATCAATACACAGCAAATAGTATATCTGTATTACGGACTGAAGATATTCTTTAGCTGTATTCTGTATTCCATCATTTATCCCATCATAAAACTTCTGTATACACAACATTTTTGGTAAAAAAAGTATTATTATTTGGAATCAATTTGCCTTGTGTCATTTTGTCTTCTGTGCCGTTTTGCTTCTGCCTGCCTGTGCAACATTGCAGATCTCAGCACATGAGTTTCATTCTGCAAGCCTCCACGTGTTGATTGTGCTATTCTCTGTAATGTTTCCTGCGCACGTCTCTCCCTTTGTCTCGCAGCAGCGGCATCTTTACGTTCCTCCACAGTGGTGTATTTCTTTGGTCGTGGCATGAAAGGTTTCTATTTTTATGTTAAAATATTACCTTAACTATTTTAAACGTTATTGTTTTATCGTAGCGGTTCAAATCTATGTGGTTTTTCGTTATTCGCCTCCTAATGAACATTACAGGCATTCCGTGACAATAATAAATTCCTATTACAAATATATTGAATTATTTATATTGTTATATTGACCAAATAATAATTTATTGGTCAAATTAATAATAATAATTTATATTGTTAATTTAAATAATAAATAAAATTGTTAATTTAATTTGGTGTTTGAAATATGACACACGATAGGGGCGCCTCTAGTGTCCGTTATGAAACGGTTACGGGACGGACACGAAATGAATGGGTTATATATATAGATATATATATATAAATATTTGGTTTCAATAAATTATTACATCTACCTATTTTTACCAGTAAAAATTTACCAGTAAAAAAATTAAATTATCAGTGTATTCATTAATACATTTTTTAAATGATTACCAGTTGATTGCAATCCCTATCATTGACTTAATTTTCAACATTTACAAACATGATTGTAAAAGAAAATGTAATGCTGAGTTTAGTAGCATCAATATTGCTGTCAATTACAAATAAAGTTTCCTTCATTTTAAAATATAGTGGAAACTTAATTATCAAAACTTGATGGAATCAGGAGTCTTTCATATAAACAAAATTTAGATAATCCAGAAATTTGTTTTTATGTTTCGGGTAATCAAGCATTGTGTATTTAAAGTTTCATGAACTATAAATACTGTGCAATTGCCATTTTTGAAAGTAAATTAATTTTCTCAAAATCTAATATATTGTTACATATATAATATATATGACCTAATTTCACAGTGCTACAATCAACAAATGACATAATAATTTCTAGTTACATGGAGAGTTTGGCCTCCACATATTATATGCAACATGCTATAGTTTTTTTTAACCCTTTCACATAATTGAGTTTCTACTGTAATTAAGTTTTAAGAACTTGAAAATTATCTACTTTCATTTTCAGATAAGTTACAGGTTAACCAAAATAGAAATAAACAAACATCGCTAAACCCGATACATAACATAACTAAACACCAACGATATGCCGAAAATCTATCGGGCTAGTATTAGGCTAATTTTACTAAATGAATTACATAACCAATTTGGCTCTAGAGGTAGGCGTTAGGCACCATCTCTTATTAATATTAATAATTATAAATTAATTAATTTCTCCCAGCAGTTCTAAATAGATTTTTTCTCCCAGCAGTTCTAAATAGATTTTTTCTCCCAGCGGTTCTAAATTATTTAAATTAATTAATTTATTTATAATTATTAATGTTAATAAGAGATGGCGCCTAACGCTTACCTCTAGAGACAAATTGGTTACGTAATTCATTTAGTAATTAGCCTAATACTAGCCCGATAGATTTTCGGCATATCGTTGGTGCAAAATAGAAATTAAACTGAAAATAATCAATTCATTTTTCTATTTCTATTATCAGTTTCAGGCTATATGGAGCCAGGACTTATACAGAAGTAAATTTCATTGCATTTTATGAAGTGATATGCTTTTAACTCATTTAGCATTTTTTGTTTTAAAACTCCTCATAATAACAGAACAATTTATCACACATGAAATGGTCAATGGAAATTTTTTGCAAGTGAAAACTAACTCAAATATTAAAAGTAACATGTGTATATGTTACATGAAAAATATGACAATTTATAGGTCAAATGCAAATAAGCATATCCTATATACTGTATATGTATATGCATAGCTAGGAGTCTGCAAACAATTTTTGGTATTTAAAGGAGTCCATAGATTTGATTAGTTTGAAAATCATTGTTTTCAATAATATGTAAAACAATTTAATATTTAAAAGTTTTCAAGATTTAAGTCTTACATTTTAAGTATAATAAATTTTGAAGTGTTATAAAATTTTACTTAAATTGTAGAAGAAAAATTTTTAAGTGTTTAATTCTGCTATTAAAATTGAGATGATAATACATATCTTAATAAAAATTAAAATACATTTAATGTCAAACTTTTTAAATTAATTACACTTCCTATCCCAAATGTATAAATAATAATTGTATTTGGAGAATGAGTAATGTTCCATTTAGACAATAAAATAAAACTACTAATAATAAAACAATAAATATTCATTTCTTTAAACAGAATATTAAAGACAATCTAGTTTTTTATCTAATAATATTTAACAAAATTTTTTAGCTACATTTAATATCATCTTGAACAGAATGTAATCAAAGACATTTCATTTATCTTCATCTTTATGTACATTTACAAAAACATAGAAAATAATATATTCAGAAACTAAAATGATTTGTAATTGCATCTAATTTTGAATTTTACTTTGATATTATTAAATTAATTTGTCTTTCCTCTACTAAAGCTAAATTAATATAGTAAACATATGGGTACCATGCAAAAGTAAAGAGCTGCCTAAATAAATTAGATATATCCATAAAGCTAAACTAATTAATATAATGTTGAAAACTGCAGAAACATATAGACAAAAGAATAGATTTTCTTGAATTAATAAAACAGTAATATTAGCAAATTAAATATAACATTATGATTTAAATACATTCTATTTCCTTTATACATTTCTTATATAAATATTAAACTCACATATAATAAGCAATTATTTATTGTGACATTGTCACATGTCAGGCTGCAATTTTTAATCATATTTTAAAATTATTTAATTTAAAATATATGCTCTCCACCTCAAATTAGTAGTGGCTTGCCCCTGTACAATGTACTTTTCCTTTAACAATAGAGTTGTGCCGGTCATCTCTCTAACATCTTTCAGGGAAAAATTTTTGAATTGAAATAACATGACTTCTGGTTTGCATTGGAAGTTCATATATAGTTAATTGGGCCTCCTGCCTCTAAGGTTTCCATATCTGGTCTCGTCTTTCATCCATCTAACTCCGTTCTTGAGATTAAGGAAAGACAGACAGACAACAGTGGAAATTTATAGGTCTACAATTTTTTCAAATTGCAGCCCAAAAAGAAAAATATTCAATCTCCTGATTAAAATCATTCTTTTATCATATTAAAATTATTGCATCAGATATGATAAATGTGCAGAAATTTAATAGAGCAACTTTAGTAAATATATTAACAGAGGTCTCATTCTTGCAAACTCTATTGCACCCATTCTAAAACAGCACAAAATGTATCTTATGCAGTCGTCAATCATTTGAGTGGGATCCCACAGATGTTTAGACACTGATCTTAACACCCCTCCTTCAATAATTTTGTAAAGGAGTATATTTTTTTATTAAATTGTTTTCATCCTGTTCAATTTACAAATAACTTCAAACTTTACTTCTGTGGCCGCCAGCGCCAGAGATCCTGAACACTGTCTGGCAACACTTGCCAAGATCACGAACTCTGTCTGGCAACACTTGCCAACAAGAGTGGCTGGCAACGTCAAAAAAGAAAAGGCGCGAAAGTTCGTTGGATTTTGTCCGGGTGTTGCCCGAGGATGTCTGTGACAGTTCTAACCTTTTCTAATAAAGTTCTTTTTTGTTACTGTTCGTGTTTGCCTGCTTAATGTTAGATCTAAACATCAGTAGGATTGAATGACAAAG